ACAGTGATTCTGAGAGCGGATAGGTCAAAAGCCGAAGCTGATTCGATAATTTCTCTCACGTGTCAAAGATTATGCTTCACCTCCCCACATTTATCCTTCACACAGATCCGACGATATTTACTGGTACCTGCTTCTTCTGCTTGCCTGCTGCGCTGTAATCAGCGCAGAAGAAGCATGATAAGCGCAGTACATTCTGTCGGTCCTATCTGTGGTTTATGTCCTAGATAGGCGTTGCTAGTTAGCAAGGTTGGAACTCTGAAACTTGTGGTGGTTTTGCGTGTCCTACGTTAGAGATGCTATAATCGATGATCCGTAATCTGTTGAACTTAATTTCAAAATACTTTGGATTTCTCCTTTCCGATTGTCTAAGCGGTGATTTTTCAAATATACTACAGATACTCGATGGTGCTACTCATCTTGGGGGCTTGCCAAGAGCTGTACTTTAACCACTTCGGAGGGTTTTTTAAACATGTCCCAGTTAGATTACCTTCCAGATAAATTATCTTCCTAGAAATATAACGTGAAGATATGACATACCAGCTCACTCTGCCATTACCCTGTCTTGTTGTTTTCGTTACAGTTGAATTGGAGAGGTTATTTCTGTGGGGCGGGGGAATGCAGTTATATGGCTCCAAGGTGTTTTTACTTATATTCGATTTATTTTATAAATATTTTTGTATTCTGATTTTTCTTGTACGTTAAAAAGGAAAACATGTCGATGGTTTTTTAGTGGTGCCAACTACGAACGTTTCAAAACCTAAAGGACGGTAATTAATTAATTAATTAAATGTGAGGATGTGGGGGGGGGGCAAAGTCAGTACTCAGTACACATGGGTCTTCTAACACAGCCAATAGCCATGTTTCATATTTGAGACCTGTAACTTTGCAGATGGTATACTGTAATTACTCATTCGAAGATTCTGTTGCCGATTCTCAGAGGCCTCTCCCAATCAATATCGAATTGCTTATACTGGTGGTTTTAGAAACTCCATCTTCTTAATATTATAATCCTGATGGCGATGTTCGTTCGCGTATATTTTCCAAACCACTTAATCAAGAAAACGTTAAGAGTTAGAGCACTGTTTTTTTTCTCGATATATTGCCGACAAAACTAGTGGAATTGTTTTTTTTTGTCTTAAAAAATCGGCATAGCTTTAGAATCCATTGTAATTTATCTCAGCAGCAGCTCTATCTAAAATATATACGAGATCTAATTTGATCACAAGACTTAGCTGCCGAGACCGAGAGGTATTTTCATTCTACCCTCTCTCTCTCTCTCTCTCCCGCCAGAGATCATGCTTGTGGAATGCGGGGTTTTTAGAAAGTCGAATTTCTGTGCGTGAAAGTCACGTTTGATTCGAATAATCACGTTAGACTTGAAAATCATGTTTGACTTGAAGTTGAATGGCTGATGAACAATCTCTTTATGCTTGATATCGTAGTCATCTGAGTACCTTACGAGACATATTTATATTCGACATAATTCCAGTAACCTAAATGATTAAATGGGAACGAAATGTTTTTCGTACCATTTAAATATGTTTCGTAAAGTCGTAAGGTAGCTACGGCTCACATTTTTTTAGGACAAATGTATTTTATAAGGCCAAACACAATGCATTATAATAACTAGCAGGAACCCGTCTAACGCTGAAGTGGTGTCAAGACTCGAGAGACTAAAATAATTATTACCTTATGTAATTCGCGTTTTTGAATTTGACACCACTTGGGAGTCCACATTTTGGGCACTAAAATTCTTATTCCTTGGCCAATTTTACATTTTTTCATGCTGATTTGAAGGCCATTAAAGCATTTGACCCAGTCAAAAAAGTTTAAGTTGTATATCTTTTACGGTTTTTGCGGAAAGTCGCGTTAAAGTTGATGCCGTGGTGTCAGTAAAATGGCACGGATCCATCCATATATCCATATATATTGTCCCGCTTTATATATAGTAAGATTTGACTCGATCCAATCATTAAATTTCCAAATATCTTAAAATGCGAAAATTTATATATTATATTTATATATACTCGTTTAGTTTACTAAGATTGAGCACTCTAGGGGAGTGAATAGATCTACCACTTAGCATAACTCCTAACTCATAATGAGTTTGTAGAGAACTCGGGTTCCTATTTCTAATATGATTATGAACTACACTCTGATATAAACTACACTCAGATATGAACTACACTCTGATTATAATATCAATATCATTAACTCCATGATGTGATGTGTATCTGTGTGGTATGTACCACGTCATTACACTTACCTAATTGGAGGTATCACCCAGTCTGTCTTGATCAGACCACGCACAGAAATAAATTTTATTTTCATTCCAGGGTCTTACTTGTAGTCATCGTAAACCCTGCTGGGTTTTCCTTTTTTACTTGTAGTCATCTTAATCCCTGCTGGGTTTTCCTTTTTTTCAGTGTTATAAAAAACACAATAGTATTCATTGTCCTACCCCCCAGTTCCATAGCGGATATTATGCCAAATTATTAGACGGAGGTCCATTTCTACGGTGATGATTCTCCGGCTCCGTCTACTGTATTAGACGGAGATGAAGCTCTCCGGGAATTTCTCGGAGATTGTAGCAGTTTGTGGCAGTTTCTTTGCACTTTGCTCCATCTGTGAGAATCAACAAAATTACCGTCTCCGGATTAGGTTATGGAACTGCAAACCGGAGAAATATCCGAAGAAATATTAGTTGACGATCTCCGTCTAATAATTTGGCATAATATCCGCTATGGGACTGGGGGGTAAGAACATAGTAGTATCCATTGTCTTAGAACATAATACACCCAATACAGTAAACCCCGATTTACCGCGGAGTTTGGGAGAAAGGAAAAAGACGTGGTAAATTGGGGTTTGCGGTAAATCCGGGTTTTGATTGTTTACATTATGTACATAACAGTATTCATTGCCTTGGTACACAGTAGTATTCAATGTCTTAAAGGCTATAAAAGTAATTAATAAGAACATTATGTTATTCTCCACTTCCGGGAAACCGGCTGTATTGACTATTGTTTAAGGTTCAGGGTATTGTTCTAGCTTAAACTTCTATTTAGGAGCATATAATATATCGAGGAGCTAGTTTTATTTCACCGTCCTCATTGTTTAAAAATGTGTGAGAACAATTTGCGTTAGAAAGCACAGCAAATAATTCTAGAATTTGCTCCAGACCAATCTTACTATATATAAAGCGAGACGATATATATGGTTCCGTGCCATTTTACTGACACCATGGCATCAACTTTAACGCGACTTTCCGCAAAAACCGTAAAAGATATACAACTGAAACTTTTTTGACTGGGTCAAATGCTTTAATGGCCTTCAAATCAGCATGAAAAAGTAAAAAATTGGCCAGGGAATGAGAATTTGAATAGGTAATAATTATTTTAGTCCCTCGAGTCTTGACAGTGACACCACTTTAGGGTAGACGGGTTCCTGCTAGTGTTTAATTAAGGGAGGGGGTTCACCCTGATTTTTTTGTGAAACTTGTTTTCGAGATAGCAATTGACCAACAAACTAGGACCGGTGACCGAACTTTTGAGGGGGTCCCGGACCCCAACCGCCAAACGGTGCCTGCGGGGCAGCCACGCCCATATTTTGTCCAAATTAGGCCCAATTTAGCCAAATACCCTGAACATGCCTAAAACACAGATTTTAGGTGCTCTACTTGTAGCTAGTGGTCCCCTGAACCCGTATATGAATTTTCATCAAGATTGGACAAAAATTAGCTGAGTTATGAGCCAAAAACCATATGACCATATTTGGGCATACGCACCAATTTTGATCGATTTTGGCCCATAAATTGATCAAATATCAATATTTTTGAATGAAACCAACTTTATATAGAAGGTAAGCCTATACTTCACATTCTCTATGAATATCAGCTCAATATCTACCTAACTGTGGATTTTGTGTTAAAATAATCGCAAAAAACAAAATTGCCCATATCTCAGTTCGCGATATTTGCAAAACTGACTTCGCTCAAAACAATAGAACTCAATAGGGTTTCAATATTTTTACATGAAATTTTCAGAATCAACGTAGAATCGCATTTCGACCTTAAGTTTTGGGACAGAATTTTGAGTTAGGCCTTTAAAAAAATTTGGCGGCCAAATTCTGAAAAATGCCCGGCAAATTTGTGTTTTAGGCATGTTCAGGGTATTTGGCTAAATTGGGCCTAATTTGGACAAAATATGGGCGTGGCTGCCCCGCGGGCACCGTTTGGCGGTTGGGGTCCGGGACCCCCTCAAAAGTTCGGTCACCGGTCCTAGTTTGTTGGTCAACTGCTATCTCGAAAACAAGTTTCACAAAAAAATCAGGGTGAACCCTCCCCCCCCCCCCCCCCCCCCCCCTTAACTGGAGTTAACTTACTAGGGTTACATGTGAATAAAGTGTTGAATTGCCAAGAACATAATACACCTTACATATGATAGTTACACGAAGACAATTACACAAATGCTGCCGCTGCTACTGAGCTAGCTCTATTCTATCCCCTCATTGGACACGGGGACTTGCTCTCCTTTTAAACTAGTTTATAAACGAACTAGTTTATCAATAAACTAGTTTATAGATAAACTAGTTTATAAGTGATCTTTCAAATCGTAATCTGTCAAACGTCGGATTGCGTTGATCCTAATATGGTTATTTTGTGTCGCTTAATCATTTAACAAATGAGTTTTCAATAATTTTGTCTGTCTGACAGCAACATTTTTTTCAATGCCCATCGTTGTAAATTAAATGCAAGCCCTTATTTTGTTTAATTTTTATACTTCCTTCTGCTTGAACTTGGTAATAATTTGTTCTTTTATTTTACTTTTATTTTATTAATCGGAATCTTGAAACTCGGATATTATTTGAGATTTCATTTCAATATATATTATTTTTCTCGTAAATGATTTCTAATGTCTTTCTCTATATCTTATCGTTAAAACAAATCGCAAGAAAAGATCAAACTCCGAACACCCGGACTGACTAATCACAATACCAGATACCCTCAAGATGGGATGCAGCAGAAAAGCATGTGGTATCTTCTCCGCAATCCTACTCTTCCTAGCCTTTGTAGTGCTCGCCCTGCTTCTGGTATTCGTCTTCAAAGACAACATCAAGAACCCAATCCAAGCCCGAACTAAAAACGCTGGAATAATCCTCGGAAAAACAGTAACCCTAAAAGATGACGTCACTGAAATACACGAGTTCCACAATATTCGCTACGCTGAGGCTCCTATCGGAGAGCTAAGGTTCAGACCTCCGGTCAGACAGGAGATAGACCCTGAGCAGGGTGTGGAAGCTAGTGACGAAACACCCGTGGTGTGTGTCCAGGCGGATACGGGTGTTGGAGTGGAGGATTGTTTAGTGCTGAGTGTCCGGTCACGTGATCTGACTGGTTCTAAACCAGTTCTGGTGTGGATTCACGGCGGAGGGTTAGCTACAGGGTACGGGATGATGCAGGGTTACAGCTTTGATGCTGAGGTGACCCATAAGGTTGATGCTGTGACTGTTAACATCAACTTCAGGCTTGGGTTCATAGGTTTCAGTTCAGTGGAGGAGCTGTGGGATGAGGAAGCAGGGGTTTATGCTAATAATGGAATCAGAGATATGATCGCAGCTTTAGATTGGATACAAGATAATATCGCAGCGTTTGGAGGAGACCCTGGCTCAGTAACCCTGATTGGTGAGAGTGGAGGTGCCACAGCTATACTGGCTCTAGTCTCATCCCCGCTAGCTAACAACAAGTTCCACGCAGCTATCGCCCAAAGCCCCGCTCCAGAGATGAGATTCACACACATTAACGGAGATGCCTACCAGAGAACGATAGTAGCCCAAGTAAACTGTACCCAGGAAGCTGCTGAAGACAGGAAACAGTGTTTGTTAGACCTACCTGCCCACAAGTTCTCAAGGGAATACATCGAGATTGTTAACGGAGACGCGTATTTCACGTTCCCTAAATCCCTGACTGAGGACGCTGAAGTGGTCGGCCTGGTAATGATAGATCCGGTTGTTGTGACTGTGACTCCTAGGAACTTAAAAACAGCTGGCTTCACCCCGTCCTCACCTCTACCCATCATTGTTTCTAGCCTAGCGGAGGAGAACTATGTTATGAGTTGGTTGTTTAGCCCGCCCTTCGCTTCTGAAGCTGATTTGAAAACAGCTATGAAGCCTCTTTTTGAAAACCTAACAGATGAAGATAATGCCATGGAAACAGCAATTGCCCTGTACCCTGACACAGACCCCACCACCATCTGGAGCTTAATGACGTGTGATATGAGAGCTACCTGTCCTTCTAACGATGTAGCAGAGGCCATGTCTGGTGCTGCTAACAGGGATATCTACAGGCTGTACATCACCCATAGGTCCTCTGTAGGCATTCCTGCTATCCATGCCTACGATTCAATAGCGTTCTTCGGGTACAACAGTGCTCTTCTGCCGTTCACAGCACAGGAGTCAGACATTAAATTTGAGAAACATTATATTGACATGGTGAAAAAACTGGCTCAGGATAAGAAGTTTGATGATGGTTGGACCCCGTTCCCCGGGAAGTCAATGATTTACGAGAATACTGATGAGATTTCCAACATTGGAAGCACTGAACCCCAAGGTTCCATTTGTGAGAAGCTGACTGAAATGGACTTGGTCAAATATGGATGGCAAAATTAATTGCACGCATTTTATTTTTGTAACTCTGTTTTTATGAGCGATTTTCATGCATGAAATATTGAAATAAGGGCCATAATATGATGCAATTTTAATTACTTAACTAATTTTTTAAACTGTTTAATACAACATGTAGAAATATATCAAGAACAAACAGGCCTTTTTAAGGGCGAATCGTTAGAATTTACACTAAGTATGTACATGTACTGTAATGACCCTTATCACAGAGCTGGCAAGCACGACCGTCGCCATTGTACTCATTATACTATTTACCCCTGAGGCAAAATTGTGAAGGTTTGTGATTACACAAACCTGATTACACAAAATAAAACTATATGATTTTATCTTAGTTTGTTGATAAAATTACATACACATATTATAAATATAATATTGTCATTACATTCTAGACACAAGACAGTTGCAAGCTTATTTCTTGTCCATAACAATTCTAATAACAATTCTAAGCATTATTCAGAATGAATAGGTTACTGTATGTACTATGTAGCTTCTTTCCAGGGTAAAATGTATAAAATTATAAAGAAACTACATCAAAGAAGAAGCTACATTAAAGACTCAAAAAATTATAAAACTATACAACATGATCTAATTTCGTTTAAAAACCTTATTACATACTAATAGTTTATCCCGAATCAACTCAAAATTGCTCAGACTTCAGACTATAACTTCAGACTATGCAAATTACTTACACTGTTCAATCGCCACCGCCGTCACCTCCGCCCCCGCCGTCACCTCCGTCGTAACCCCCGCCGAAATCCCCGCCATCCCCGCCGTAATGCCCATCACAACACTCACAACAGCTACAATTGCAGCAATAAACAATCATCAAACCGCCGACGATTACGACTGCTACCGCGATAAGTGGAATGATAAGCTCATCAGTATCCGAGCTACCACTGCTACGAATCTTAATTCGCCTAGAATCGTAGCTTACCGCCCTTCTTCTATCACTGTGAAATGAGATGATTAATGAAATGCAGATTCAACATGCTTATTAAAATATTTCTATCATAGGAATGTGTCTCCGTTCTTTGTACTGTCCTATGTACAGTAATTTTACCCCGATTTACTGCAGAGTTTGGGAGAAAGGGAAAATGAGCGGGAAATTCGGGTCTGGTAAATTCGGGTTTTATTGTAAATGGAAACTTATAATTTACTATGTACTTACGAGGCCTCGCTGAGGCTGTAAATCAACAAAACAGCAAAAACTGCTACAGTCAGGGCTGCCCATGTGGTGAACTTTATCATGCCTTGAGAAAGGAAAAGGAGATAAGCACCTCAGGGGCTCAGGCCATCCCAACTTGCGGGAGAAACCTGCCCTTGTATCTTGTATTGTAGGTGTTGTTTTCATCTTAGATTTATTTCCGAAATATTCTCGATATTGCTTTTATTTTATGATAAGAAAAAAAAGGAAAAAGTGTCTAAGCGTTCAAATCACTATACACTATACACTCATGATCATATGATCAAAACACAAAGCTTTGAAATATACTTTTTTCTGTTTGAGATTTGAATAACGTTACTCATAATGTAATGTTCCAAATTATATTTTAAATGTTCGAATATAGCTTACTATATATAAAGCGAGACGATATATAATAAATATCCCTACCATTTTACTGACACCACGGCATCAACTTTAACACGAATTTCCGCAAACTTGAACTTTTTGACTGGTTCAAATGCTTATATGGTCTTCAAATCAGCATTTTTTTTTTGAACATTTAAAATATAATTTGAAACATTACAGTAACGTTATTCAAATCTCAAACAGAAACAGTGTATTACAAAGTTTTGTGTTTTGATCATATGATCGTTCATCGTGGATGTATAGTGATTGATTGCATAATTTTGAATTTGATTGATGGTGATTGTGAGTGAGAAGATGTTTGGAGTGCCAGCCAGTAACTCTGTCAAATGAACAGCCCAATTAAGAGCGAAAGAGCGTAAGCGCAGGAACAGCAGAGAGGGTGGCACAAAACGGCACACACGGAAAGGACGAAACAAAAAAAGAAAAAACGCCGTGCGCGGTAAGCTTGCCTATGTCTGAGAGCTGGTGTTACCTAGCAAGAGGCCTCAAAGGAGGTGCCGTGGTGGAGTGTGAAGGGAAAGTTCGAGAGCACGGCAGCTCTAACTGATGATGATGATTGAAGAAGGAGGTCGAGCGGGAAGCTCAGAAAAAGCTAAACAGGAAGGATCCAGCTGAGGTCTGACTCATGTCAGGAAGTGATGAAAAACTCACAGACAAAATCATCGGTGGCTGTCTACCCCGTACGTAGGCAGTGTCCAAGATTTCAGGCATCAGGATACACTGGAGCAGTGCAGAGCTGATTACGACCAGGGTCCTCACGGATACCCTGTCTTGGAGGTCGAGCCAATGCCCTGCGTTCGGTAATTGTGTCTACTGATATAGCCTTCATACTTTCCCTACTAACAGTCACTGTAACCCTATCACTCGGAAGGCCCCACGGCTCCTACATGGACGCACGGCCGGGAGCCCATGTAGGGATAAAATTGACCGCAAGAAATCCATCACATCCGTCACAGATCCAAAGCTGGAAAAGAAAAAAAGGCGGAAAGACAAAGAGGAAAAAAGAAAGAAAGGAAGAAAGGAAGGACTGAAAGAGGAAGCTAGTTATAATCTACATTTAGACTTTCTTTGAAGTTGAGGGTTAGTCTGTAGATTTTATTAATGGTGCTGGTCGAGAGTTTGATCAAACTTACGTCCTCATCGCTGAGTTTGTCCATGCAATCGGGTTGCGAGATGAACGTGGAGGCAAGATTGAAGCTACCATTTCCGTCAATGCTGACTAGATTTCCACTGAGGCTTTGAAATCTGTCCCTTGGAACTTTCCCTAGGGGGCAGGAATGGAGCATATGATTCTCGTCTTCGATGATTAGCTGGTTGGTGTTCAGCTCGCAATAGTTACAGGTCCTTTCATCAAGTGGAGTTTTGTCGTACCTCCCCCTTTCAATTCTAAGGTGATGAGAACTGGACCGAATCTGCGTGGTTGCCCTTCTGTCCTGGAAAGACCTAGCGTGGTTTAGATATGGCTCCCATCCAAATTCTTTTTTGACTTCACTGTAGAATGATAGCTTTCTAGAATCTTTCACAAGAGAACCCCAGGAGTCACGGAATAGTTTTCGCAGGTTCTCTGTCATCAATTCAGGGCTGCAGGAGTCCGTGAGGAAGGTTGCGTTGAGCAACGATGATGAATTCCTGTCAGGAAGGTCGATGTTGTTGAATGACTTGATAACTGATTCGATGCCTACAAACCATGACAATTTGAGGTTAATCTGCTCAGTCATTGCAGCTTTGACCAGTTGTGTTGAGGGAAGGCTCATAACTCTTTTGAAGTATTTAGTACTCAGTTTCAACATCTCAATTATAATTGGGTATGAGCCAGTTTCTCCCCAGGCTGTAGCATTGACTGCCCTTCTGTTAATACCAAGAAGGTATTTGAGGTGACGTAGGTGCACTTGCTCCAGTTTCTGTTTTGCGATGTGGGAGACTGCATGATCAAGGTTGTGAAACTTGCTGAAGCAAGAGAGGACCTTACTGACGGTGGGTAGAACTGGGGCCCAAACTTGACAACCGTATAGTAGAATAGGCTTGACAAGGGTGTCAAATAGTTTGTTAAGGCATGATGCGTCAATATATCTCCGGTCTATGGTGCTTCTCAAGCTAAAGTAAGCTCCGAGTCCCTTACGGTAGAGAGAGTCAGTTGCCTGCCGAAATTTCCCTGTGCTGCTTATAATGATTCCAAGATAGCAGTAGCTGGAGACCATCTCTATATCTCTGTCATGAATGGAAGGACGCCAGTTTGGAATGTCTGGTCCTTTACCGTTGAAGACCATGAATTTGGTTTTGGAGATGTTGATTTCCAGACCCCATTCGATACAGTAGTCCCCAATGATCGAAAGCAACTTTTGGAGTGATTCAGGATCTAGGGCGAGGATTACTAGATCATCAGCCCACGCTAGGTGAGTCACTGAGATACCAGCGAGAGTTGGGCAGTTCACAACGGCTTCATTGAGGAGGTCAGAAAGCTTTTTAAAGTAGACTTTGAAAAACTCGGGGCTGAGTGGATGTCCTTGTTCAGTCCCTTTGAGGATCTTGAATGCTTCACTGATTTTACCATTCATCTTGATATGACCCTCTGATTTACTGTACATGTCTTTGATGATGTCGTAGTAGCCGCCATTGACGCCATAGCAGGCTAGTTTGAACAGGAGGGCTTGTCTGCACACTAGATCAAAGGCTTTTCGGAGATCAATGAACACTGCATATATTTTATTTTTCACTTTCTTGTATTTTTCGATTGTGGACATCAGCGTAAATATATGGTCATTACATTGACTTCCTTTGGTAAAGCCTGCTTGATTAGGTGGATCAGGATGAGAGATTTGGCGGTGAGTGACAAGCCGAGATAGCAGCATCGTGGAGAGCAGTTTCCCAATACAGCTACATACTGCTATTGCTCTATAGTTGTCAGGGTTCCTGATGCACCCTTTTTTGTGAATCGGTGTGATCACACTTTTGCTCCAGAGGTAGGTTCCTGTCTCAAGGCACAGATTGAAAGAATAAAAAATTGGCCAAGGAATGAGAATTTTAGTGCCCAAAATGTGGACCGCCAAGTGGTGTCAAAAACGCGAAATAAATAGGTAATAATTATTTTAGTCTCTTGAGTCTTGACACCACTTTAGGGTTAGACCAATGAATTTTAGTCAAGAATGTTCTATTAGGCTACTGATTCAAACAATCGAAAGGGAATGATCAGAGACCGTGAAACTGTGAAATAGAAGCTACACATTTGTGGTACAAAACCATCAATCAATCCATTTACCAGTATCCAGTTACCAGTGTTGCTGGGTAACTTACCTAACAACACTCCTGTCCTGTCCCACTCACAGCTCTCACACACGTTGTGATTCTGTGCGGTGCTCCGAACACCAGCCCTACCAGTCCGTCTACAACGTAGTGCTAGCACGTGCCACGTGGTTAGCACGTGGTTAGCAGGTGGTTAGCACGTGTTTTGGCGGTTTGTGTCACGTGCTAGGTAGTCTCGTCCCCATCTGAATCAGCCAGTGTTAGATAATATTTGTGTTAGCACATGATACGGTCGTTAGCTGAAACACTATCCAGGTCATTCTCGACTAAAGCGTCGAAAATCCGGCTCATTTTCGACTGGAAATAGTGGTACGTACATCGTTTGATTTTCTGGAATTAGCTTGATTTTTTCGCCGCGATCTACAGCGCTTGGTGAATGTATGGGGCTGAGTATGTTGACTAAGTATCAGTGTTTTGATGACTGGTTATATATTATATACATAGTTTAGTATTTCATAGTTTAGTTGTGCCTGATAAAACGTTGTAAGTGAAGGGTTGTGGCTGGCATCAGGGACAAAAGGATTTCGCGATTATTTCGGCCAAAAATCGCGATACCGCGAATTTTAACAGACTTTACATTAAACTATACATAAAATTTGTCGCAAATAATGGGAAAAATCGCGATTCCGTACATGCCGCGATTTCCTTTTGTCCCTGGCTGGCATTGGTTTGTTATAACGGTACAATTTCTGAGCTGCAATCAGCTTATATTTTGGGGATGTAATTTTCAACATGTTATTCTTATCACGATCTCTTCCAATGAATTACAGCGTGAGAACCTGTTATTTTCCAATTTTCCAAATGACCTAATTTAGTTTCAATGGTAATACTACCATATAAGGTAAGGTTTATTACCATACAAGGTAAATCTCTTCCCTCTTCAGATCACAAGCTCGTATAATTAATCACGACGATACTATCATGTTAAATTCCAATTTGGCAAATTACTTCCTATTAGAGTATTCAGCCAGCTTGTCGGCTTTATGAATGTTTTTGTGTAGGATGCGTCTTCGTTTGTTTTCTTTGTATTCTTTGAGTTTTCGTTGTTTTTTATTTGTGTTTTTTTTTGCATTTTCCCACCCTCTTTTCTGCCTTTACATCTAGAATAAAATTCCCTCCACTCAAATAACATTGTTATTTGTTATATTAACAATACATTTCCCCTCCACACAGTATACACATGACAAAAAGACGAAAATGAAGAAAAACTGTAAAATACTGTCCGCAGTTCTCGTCTTCTTGGTGGCAGTCTCAATTGCAATAATCCTCCTAATCCTCCTCCTCTACAAGAACAACGACATCGTAGTAAGAACAACCAGTGCGGGGAAGGTCATTGGAAAAACAGTAACCCTAAACGATGGAAACACAAAAATCCACGAGTTCCACAATATACGTTACGCTGAACCGCCTACAGGAGAGTCAAGGTTCAGACCTCCAGTTAGGCACATGATATCTGACCCAGGACAGGAGGTTAAAGCAAAAGATGACATTGCTATCACGTGTATCCAGGCTGATTCGGGGGAGGGGACTGAAGATTGTTTGGTGTTAACTGTACGGTCTAGTGACGTGACGGAGTCCAAACCTGTGCTTGTATGGATCCATGGTGGCGGGTTAATGTTGGGGTATGGGGAGGCAGTTGGATACAGTTTTGATTCTGAGATTACCCATAAGGTTGATGCTGTGACTGTTAACATTAACTACAGGTTGGGCTTCCTTGGTTTCAGTTCAGTGGAGGAGCTGTGGGATGAGGAAGCAGGGGTTTATGCTAATAATGGTATCAGAGATATGGTCGCAGCTTTAGACTGGATACAAGATAATATCGCAGCGTTTGGAGGAGACCCTGGCTCAGTAACCCTGATTGGTGAGAGTGGAGGTGCCACAGCTGTCCTTGCTCTAGTCTCATCCCCTCTAGCTAATAACAAGTTCCACGCAGCTATCGCCCAAAGCCCCGCTCCAGAGATGAGATTCACACACGAACAAGGAAATGATTTTCAGAGAGAGCTGCTTGACAGAGCCGGGTGCACTCAAGAAGATCTCGCAGGTCGGAAACAATGTCTGTTAGACATCCCAGCCAATAAGTTCTCGGGGAAAGGAGGAGTGAACATGACAAGTGGGGGGGCTTACTTTGAGTTTCCTATGTCTGGGGGAGAGAGAGGTGAGTATGTAGGACTTATCATGGTGGATCCAACTGTGGTTACAGTATCTCCCCGGGATCTGAAGGAGGCTGACTTCACCCCAACTTCACCTATCTCCATCATAGTGTCCAACACAGCTGCGGAAACATACAACGTGTGGTTGTGGCCGTTTGTACCACCATTTAACACAGAAGATCAGCTGAAAGCTAAGCTGGAACCACTCATCGAAGAGATCTCCGACGTTGAAAATGTGATGGATACAGTTATAGCCCTGTACCCTGACCAAGACCCCACCATGATATGGACTCACATGACCACTGACATGAGAGCAACATGTCCTTCCAACGATGTGGCAGAGGGTATGTCTGCTGCAACTAACCGGGATATCTACAGACTTTATGTCAGTCATAGCCCTTCGTTTGCTCTCGCACCTTTCCATGCTTATGATTCATATGCCTTTTTCGGGTATAAATCAGATGGCATAGAACCGCCTACTATTACCAACATGGACATAAAGTTCCAATCACATTACATTGAGATGGTAAAGAGGTTTTCTCGGGATAAGAAGTTTGATGATAAATGGACCACTTACCCCGGTGCAACTATGATGTACGAGAACTCTGATACTATTTCTAACGCTGGAGCTGCTAAGCCTCAGGAGGCTGTTTGTGAAAAGCTGGCTGAACTGGATTGGGTTAAATATGGATCACAAAATAAATGATGAAACTTTGAAAGAAAGTTCAGATTGATACCAAGACAGCTTTAATATCTTGTTTTAAAGACTACGCAATAGGTTGGAGGAATTGATACTACTCGCAACAAGAACTGTGACCCTGGAATCCACTTTTCAATGGTTTTTTTCATCCAGAAACTCTATTTATGGCCATCCTTGTTTTCATATTATATCATGGTAGCTTGTCGATTTTTGTTTTTACATCATACACCAAAAAATATCTGATTGAACATTTATTTGTGATTAACCTGTTATATTGGGTATTAGATTTCGCTGTCGACTATAGTATAGAAGAAATATATATATATATATATATATATATATATTTATAGCATAGAAGAAAAATTATAGCTAAGATAAATTAGTTCATGTTGATATACAATTATTATTGATATAAAATTGATAAAATTCTATTACTTGTTAAATTTATCGGTGGTTAAATTAAAGCGTTTCCCCTTGTGCAGGGACAGAAAATTAACTGGAACATAAAGAAATATTTCCAGCCACATATTTAGTTTCAATTCTGCACATGCACTAGTCACATACACATAAAACCAGTAACCAGACACTACAACAAATATATGTACTCCTGAATATTATTAATTCAACTATAAACCGAGGATTCACTGTTCTCGTAGAGCCAAAGAGTTAGTCTATACTATTAGAGCTTTTTAATAAAAATTAAAACGAGGCCTTCATGTTATGGAGCCAGGTTTTGGATTGGCTTTTGCCCACTTAAAACTTTTCCATCACGTTACATAATACTCAATAAATGTAATAGATTTGTAGTGTTGTAATTTGTTAAAACTATAAATTAACTCTCATATTCCAGAAATGTTAACCTAACTTCTACAGGAGGAGCTTGCTGCGCTAAAACGAACAGTCGAGAACATCAAGGATCCACTTTATCGGTTCTTTGAACGGGAGTGCACTATTGGACGTAACCTCCTCAAAACTGTTCTTACTGATCTCAACGATATCTCTCAGGTTGGTGCTAAGATTTTCGTGCACTGTGCAGTGTTTGAGTGTTCTGCACGTGCACTATGCAGTGTTTGAGTGTTCTGCACGTGCACTCTGCAGTGTTCTGCTCGTGCACTCTGCAGTGTTTGAGTGTTCTGCACGTGCACTGTGAAGTGTTCTACATGTGCACTGTCAGTGTTCTGCGCGTGCGCTCGAAGTACTGCTCGTTATTGCACATTCACCCTACCTTTTCCGCGCAGTGATATAATAATTTATTGAGCACTCCAAATCCTGCACTAGCTCACAGCTATGATCATGAACACCCTTTAAAGATAAGAAGACTAATTACAAAAACGTTAAACCCTTCTTCTACCAGGTATGTGATCTGAAAAAGAAGCAAACTAACTACATACGTGGACTCCTCTCAGACCTACAGAAGGGAATAGTCCCTAAATCGTGGCTTAGATACAACGTACCAGGGGTAACCATTAACCCCTGGATCATTGACTTCTCCGAGAGGATCAGACAGCTACAAACGATTGTAGAGGCAGCACAGAAGGGCCAGACTGCCCTGAAGGAGATGTCCGTTTGGCTGGGTAAATTTTATTTTTTAATTATTTTATTTTTTAAATATATATTTTTTTCGTAGCCAATTAGTTGTAGGATTCTTTTTTGTTAATTTACCGATTTTTGTTAATTTACCGATGTTATTCAATTTATGTTAAGTATCAGCGCTGAATAGATTTTGAATCGACAGCTAATCCGGTTAATTAAAATAAAAGCGAAAGTGTGGTAACACTGATTTAAAGTGAAAGTGAAAGTGTGGTAACAAATAGCAACATCAAAACGTTAACTTTCACATTTCACGTGACCATATTATCAGGCGGCCTATTCTCGCAAGAAGCCTACTTCACTGCTACAAGACAGTCTGTGGCTCAGTGTAAGGGATATTCTCTTGAGGAACTCAAACTACAGGTTTGTACTGCACGTGCAAATGCACGTCCGTACATGTAAATTAGCGCGTGGATATACCCGCCATACAGTACACGCTAACAACATTTGCTTGAGGAGTGTATCTTATTCAATCTCGAAGGTCCGAGGTCGAACTTAATTCTCACACGTTTCCACAATCTTGCCCTCCCCCCCCCCCCCCCCCCATCTTGATATTATCCCAATCTTGATAACTGAAATCTTCAAAGTAACCCACGCGACGTGACCCCCCCCCCCCCCCCCCCATCTTGATATTATCCCAATCTTGATAACTGAAATCTTCAAAGTAACCCACGCGACGTGACCCCCCCCCCCCCCCCCCCATCTTGATATTATCCCAATCTTGATAACTGAAATCTTCAAAGTAACCCACGCGACGTGACCCCCCCCCCCCCCCCCCCCCCCCCCCCCATCTTGATATTATCCCAATCTTGATAACTGAAATCTTCAAAGTAACCCACGCGACGTGACCCCCCCCCCCCCCCCCCCCCCCCCATCTTGATATTCTCCCAATCTTGATAACTGAAATCTTCAAAGTAACCCACGCGACGTGACCCCCCCCCCCCCCCCCATCTTGATATTATCCCAATCTTGATAACTGAAATCTTCAAAGTAACCCACGCGACGTGACCCCCCCCCCCCCCCCCCCATCTTGATATTATCCCAATCTTGATAACTGAAATCTTCAAAGTAACCCACGCGACGTGACCCCCCCCCCCCCCCCCCCATCTTGATATTATCCCAATCTTGATAACTGAAATCTTCAAAGTAACCCACGCGACGTGACCCCCCCCCCCCCCCCCCCCCCCCATCTTGATATTATCCCAATCTTGATAACTGAAATCTTCAAAGTAACCCACGCGACGTGACCCCCCCCCCCCCCCCCCCCCCCCCATCTTGATATTCTCCCAATCTTGATAACTGAAATCTTCAAAGTAACCCACGTGACCCCAAACTAACTCAGGTCTCCGTTCACAACGCTCCAGTTGAGCTGGACAACAGCAGCTTTGGGATATCCGGTCTGAAGCTGATGGGGGCGATGCACAGTGACGGGAAGCTAACCATTACTGAAGACATCATGACGGATCTGGTGTACACAAAGATTAGCTGGGTCAGGGACCAGGATATTCAGATATCCGGCAAACAGGTGATTTTATATTTAATAGATGTGAATTTAACATTTATATGGTTGGGAGGAGAGGCACGGTTTTTTGACACATGACAGCAATTAACCAATCAGCTTTCACTATTGACCAATGAAATCCCAAAATCAGTATGACTGTCAAGCAATAAGTACCACCTCTCCACCAGAATCCACTTCATGGTTAAAGTTGACATTAATAATCGCTTTATATTATGTGTAATTTAATATATAATTTAATAGATAACTAACTAAACCCCCAGATCACCCTGCCTGTGTATCTCAACAACACCCGCACCACTCTCGTTGAAACCCTCAACTTTAGAACTGACCAAGACAAGTTCTACGAAAGGGGCGTCGCTATTTTGTGTACCGGGCTTTCTTAAACTGCACGTGCCGAACTTGTAGATTGCACGTGCTGCACTCACTTGCACGTGCAAGTTAGCGTCGCACGTGTGATTTTTCATGAGTAAAAGTGCAGGCTTTGAACTTGACAAGACTTGCTCTGTCATTTGTATTTCTGTAAACTTTCAACTGTATTTCTTTTGTAATACCCGATATTATTTGTAGGGCAGCTAAACTTGCCAAATATGTGTTTTAGGTATGCCAAATATAAATATGTGTTTTAAATTTATGTTGTTTTTTTTTCTTTATCTTTCAATATTATTGATTATTGATAAGTTTAAAATGGTTTATTAAAACTACTGTATCTTTAGTAGTACTAGTAGCATGATATATTGTATTATCTAAGTTTTGGATGTATCATTAGATGCACTTCGTCAGTAGTAAAGTAGTAATAACGAAATGTATTGGATGCTTAGTGTTTTACTTTTCAAACTTAATATGGAATTGATTTATAAAACTAAAAGAATCTTAGTTGCCTCAATTAAACGTCAATTTTCAATTTGAAAATTTTAGTAGTGATATGTGATGAAGCTTATAATTGTTCATGATTATTGTTAGTGTTTTTCTGACTTTTTCTTCTAATGCCACTGTATCATTTCTTTTCGATTTTCACGGCAAGGGAACGTTCACATATGACATCAGCAAGATTTTGGCCAATTTTATCACCCTCCTCCCCAATGACGTCAGCATCTTCCAGACCCCCCCTCCTTTTGTTTAATATTTCATACTTACCCCTCCCGTTCAGCCAGCGAGCCCAAGCGATGGTGGAGGCCAGGGGGTATCGAATTGCTGACGGGGGTTGCAGGTTGTGGGCATGAGAAATTAGTGTGTGTGGTGTGACTGATTTAAACAGTTGGTCAACATTAAACAGTTGGTCAACCCTTACATATTTAGGTTCACCGAAGTACTAATATTAAGGAAATTATTGACGGATGTTACTCGTCTAAATTTCTTCGAAGTAGCGCGCGCCGCTTTCTTCTCGAAATGTTATTGGCCCGATGGCAAGTGCTACGAAGTAGCGCGCGCCGGGCCAGATCATTAACAATGGTCAAGGAAATTGTTTTGTTTGGGGACTGGTTTGTAAGCCAGCCAATGTTTACGAATATAATATTAATAACTTTATTACATAATTATAAATATATATCATAAATAGATCAAATCTGAAACACAAATTTGCACGCAGTTAATAAATTTATAGAAAAAAAGAAAATGAAAATGAAAAAAAAAAGGTTTATTGATAAAAACAAAATATGGAGCACTCTGTGCTTCCAACAGCCTTTCAGACTCGCGCTAAGTTTGTTAGGGACTGATTTAGGATATCGTAGATATTGCTATGCCATGTCATTAGTTTGGATATGTAGTGTTTGTGATTGTTGAAATCAATTAATTACGGTTTGTGCTGATAGGAAAATAGTGATAGTGGGGAATGTGGCAGTGTAAATATGGACCTGGAATTTAGGATGTGTGACTTATCCATTAATATTAGTTGCCGCTAGTCTGTGATCAGTTTGTTCTGGTTTTTTTGTGTGCAAATATATATTCATAGTTTATTTTTGTAATATCATATAATATATAGTACTTAATAATAACCATATGACTAATAACTGATTTACTAATTAACTAATTAACTAATTCACTAAACTGATATAATGACCGTTGTGTCCAGTAACTTTCAGACACGTTGTGACCTTCTTAGACCTGGAATATTATGTAATAAGAAACTGGGCCACGTGTCATCGTCATTTTCACTCTGCAGGTTCAAGAGCATGCGTTTTTGGTTTTGTAGCCGATTTAAAAAGGTTTATGGAAAAAAGTGTGGGTAGGGTGCTTACATTTGAATTTACAGCATAAATTGAGAGTAAAGGTCCTTTGAAGAACATCGAAGATCTGAAATGTGTGGTGTTGTACTCGGCTAACCAGGATGCTGCAGTCACGTGATCTGAGTTTGCAGTGGGTGCATTTTCTGGGATAGTCATACAGATTTGTTGAGGGACTGAGCTGCGGAAATGTTTGATTCGGTGCATGAGAATTAGTGTGTTTTTTACAATAACACTGTGCACCGTGAGTATACCATTGTTATTGAAAAATTGTTTTGTGTGTTCTGGCAGTCGACCGTCTTTGTAAAAGTAATTAATGTGACCTGGCATTACTGCCCTGATACCCTGTTTTTGTCGTGAGAAGAGTGATTCAATGTAATTTTTTGCTGCAAACCCCCATACAATTGAACAGAAGTTTAAATGCGATTGAACAAAACTTTGATATATCTGTAGCCTTATTTGAATCGATAGGTGACGTTTTATTTTATACATAATTCCTACATACCGCATCATTTTTGATGCAAAATTTTATTGTTGATAAGAATGATTTGAAACAAAAACGAAAAAGTTTTTCCAAAATTCACGTATTTTTGCTGACGTCAGCAACCAGCAGGATTTTTTGTAGCGTTTCTACGATACAGGGGGAGCTGGGTCATACAATGTATGACTTACTGGGCGGCGCTCAGCCTGTCATTCCGCCAAATCTCTATGGATATGATTATGAACATAGATATAATAGCCTTAGGACTAGGTCCCCAGGTAACGTATGACAAGTAATAAGCGCCGTGAGTTGGCACAGACTTTTTTTACCTGGAGACCTCAGGCTATCATGTTCATAAACGAATAGAGATTAGGCGGAATGACAGGCTGAGCGCGGCCCAGTAAACTTTTTTCGGATGATGATTAATCATTCTACAGTCTACACTCGACTGTTACGTGACTTCTTCAATCCGTTCTCTAGCCTTTTTAGAGTAAAAATTATGTTTATTAATTACATGTAGTTGTACATTATCTTGTAACTTTAAAATTAACTGTACGGTATAGATTCGATGTTGATTTTTTCCCGATCCATGACTCAAAGTGCCGAAGGCACAAAAGAGTCAAGGACAAGGGTTAGCGAACGAGGTTTTTTTTTGTATATGGTAGCTTTCGTCCGTGCGACCGTGCCTGCGTGCCTGCCTGCGAGCGTAGGTGTCGCCCACGTGTCTGCCTGCGCAAAGTTATTTTGCGCGAAAATCTGAATTAAACATTTGTTGGCGCGCGGTGCTGAAATGTTCAAGTACATTGTTAATTTCACCATGTACGCATCCCGCGCGCTAGGGACTAATTGATAGCATAGTATTATTATTTTGAGTTAGTATTACTATTTTGCACAGATCCGTGTCAGGTTGCATAAACAATAAACATATGGTTACATAGAAATATACACGATTTTCAAATTAAATATGGAATTATATCAACTGGGCGGCGCTCGGCTTGTCACTCCGCCATATCTGCATGCTTATAAACAGTAAAGACTGGGGTCCCCAGGTGGTATGGAATATGATCAAATACTCAATCACGGATCGGGAAATTGAGCGGCCATCCACAAAAGAAAGGCGGCCGCATTTCTTGTTATACTTTGCACATGCAACATGTTTCGCCAGACAAATTAAAAGTGCCATAATTTAAAGAATGTTTAACTTAACTTTAAGTTTATGTAAGGTGATAAACAAATTAATAATGCAAACTAATTGACTTATAGACAATTAATCAAAACGGCAGGGAGGAAATTGTTGATTCTTTATTGTTTATCGATCAGTAGAGCATACCTATAGCAAAATATATTATATATTAATATTGACATGTTATAACTATAAGGCATTGAAGTCTCATGATTAATATTTTAACTCTGGAATGAAATGATTAGCTTACCTGGGGGCCTCAGGCTATAATTATGTTCATAAACATAGAGATTCGGTGGAATGACAGGCTGAGCGCGGCCCAGTAATGATTAGCAAGATTGAATGAAAATGTAATTCATTCTATGATAAAATATTTCTATTCGGGAGACTTCACGGCAGTGGCGTAACGAAGGGCCCCGCTGTGAGGGGAGGCGCCAAATCTTTCATTGAAGCGCCCCCCTGTTCAACTTCATGTTGGCGCCCCTCCCTAAAAATAAAATTGAACAAATTATAGGTGAATTTATAGGATAAGTTAACGAGTGATACTTGACACACACTGTAAGTGTGTAACCCCATTTGATCGCGCGTGGCGGCCGGCCGCGGCGGCGCTTGCACGCTTCGCGTGCACGACTGCTAGTGGTATACAATTACGTGTAGCAAGGTGATACTTTGATTCACGATGCCGATCCTTCGCATTTCGCCGATCCGCTTTTGTGGTTGCGAGAAGCATTATTGGATGCGCGCGCGACGCAGTAGTGCATCGCGCTACAAGGTGATACTGATACTCGTAAAATATTTGTTTCAAATATCAGGACCGTCGACGAGTCCAAATCGTCGTTTTTTTATTAAATACTTTTCAAATTTTACAGAGTACAGCAATAGATGAATATAAAATAGAATCGTTCAAAATATCGCCCCCATCTGTAAACAGTAAAATATGATGGGCACCCAAACACGGTAAACACATAATGAACTATGTCCGCAGTAACTTGGACCCATAACTTGGAATGTGGGAAAATTTCGAAAACTTAACTAAAAGTAAAGTATTAGCAAAACTGCGCGTTTTGCTCTACTTCTAGATACACACGTTTTTTAAAGATTTTACCGGCGTATCCTCTAAAATCACCTACAACCTATGACTTAATTTGTTCAATTTTAAGGAGGGAACCAAAAGGGGAGGGGGCACCAACAGGAGGGCGCTTTTTCGGCGGGGGGGGGGGGGGGGGGGGGGGGCAACAGGCAACGTTACGCCACTGGCCCACTGCTTCACGGCCTCGTAATACCTTAAATGTTAAATACCCTAAAACTGGACATTATGACTATGAATGAGAAAATCAAGCTTGTTTTCTGGGGCAGGATAGTAGCAAATCTACTGTTATCGTTCGAATTATATTAATCATTTATAAAAACAGGTACGAATCCCGGTGCTATAACGGCACATTTAAATATAATCGGTACTAACATTAACAATAACATGAACATATCATTGTGATATTAATATCTAAGCAAATTTTTCTTCTTTTACAATAATATTAGAGCCATCGATAATTTTTGCCGCTCAGATTTGATCTGCCCTAAAAAGGTCGACATGTTTAAATTAAATGGTTAATGTTATCGGGGAGGATATCGCAAATTAAATGTTGACAAAAAGTAATTGTTCCAAAACTCGTAACTGTCATCTTCATTGAGACCCATTTTAACAGCGTTTAAT